AGATACAGACGAGATATAAGGAAGAAATTTTTTACGCTGAGGGTGGTGAAACACTGGCACAGGTTGCCCAGAGAGGTGGTGGATGCCCCATCCCTGGAAACATTCAAGGTCAGGTTGGACGGGGCTCTGAGCAACCTGATCTAGTTGAAGATGTCCCTGCCCACTGCAGGGGGCTTGGACTAGATGACCTTTAGAGGTCCCTTCCAACCCAAACTACTCTATGATTCTAAGTTACCCATCCACAGAAACACATTGCATCTTGCTCTTTGTGCTCTACAGAGCCACCTTAGCAAAAGGGATAGCAGGATGCCATTCAATTTAAGCAGCTAGTTCTTCTGATTCAAGCTTGAAAACGTCACACAAAGGCCTCCTCCTACCCCTCCCGTCCAATGTAATATCATACCCTGCTCTTGAGTAGGACGACTGTACACGTGTGCCATCAATAAATTGGACCAAGGATATCACGTGATCTCAGCTTTATGTTCACCTTTACCACTGTGATCCACATGCAATATTTAAGATTTCAACTATTCAGGTCATAAACAACAACTTCATGTTATTTCTTTTTCACCTGCAAGGACTATAAACTCATTAACCACAAAAGTTCAAAACTGGTGTGATTACACTTAGCATTGCACATTCCATTTCTTTTATACATGAAGAACGACACCCTGACACCTGCAGCTACTGAGATGCTATACAAGGTCCAAATTAGTTTCTTGCTAGAGAAGACAAAAGGATGGAATTCTCATATATTGAATCAGTAGTGGGTCATCTTCATAAAGGACACAGTAATGAATATATGTTTAATCATAAAATAATGAACAGCTATCTTTAAAAGCTTAGCCACATCCACAGTGGAACTCTGACATTCCCTGACCTTCTCCAGTTTTAACTGTTTAACACTTTATTAATATAATTTTCCTTCCTACTTGCTTAGACCTTAAAGGACATTTCAAGTGCTGCATGTCATGATTTAAGAGGTCTTCAGTCAAACTTTGAGTTTCCCCAAGTGTACTAGTAGGTGTAGATGGACTAGGAATGCAGAACATGTTTTATTTGCCATACCCACACTATAAAATTCATTAAAGAATATACTTGCAATTTGACTTTTTTTCCCCAAAACAGAAATAATATCAACTAGTGTTTGAATAATGTTACAGTTTTGTTAACATTGTGTTGAAAGCTTAAGTTATAAAGTGCCTTTGTAAAGTGCACCTGTAAAGTGCCTTGAAAGCACAGGTGATCCTACTAGCTAGGCTTATAACAGAGTTGCATTATATGTTGCAATGTAAGATTAGACCTTTTGTTTTGAAACTCCTCTTGCAGAAGTTTTCTATACCGGGCATAACACTGCTTAGCATTCAAGTTTTTAATAATTGCAAACCAGCCATTTATGAAAATGCTATTAGGAACAAAGGAAAGAGTAGGAAGAAAAAGGAAAGTCACAAGGGTTTCTGATACATAAGCTCCAGCCACTGTTCACTTCTTTCGCTTTGTTGGCAGGCTCTCCCGCCTCCATACTCAAGGGCTCAAGGCCTTGATATTTGCATAGGATTTGGGTTTTTTTGCTAACTATATTAAATCTTACCCCAAAGTTGGCCAATTTACAAACCTCTGAAAAAAAATACAACCCATAAGAATCCACTTGAGGTTTGTTAATATTAAGAGTTAATAGGCAGCTATCTTCTTCACTGACTGTACCTGCACTAAGCATTTTCTGTGATCTTTAAGCTTTTGCTGGCTAACTGTACAGGGTATGCAACATTTCACAGAAGAAAAACATTTGCCACATTGGGACTGCAAAACATTGAGTACCAATACTTCTGCCAGAAGGTAATATGACAGTGGAATAGAGCACAGCAAGAGAGCTGCTTTTTCCCCTCTCACATGACCTAACGTAAGCACCTGGGTAACCTGGAAAAGGAGGACAAGCATGGCTAGGCTCAGATGAGGACTTCACAGGAACAAAACAAATTAAACAAACAAAAAAAAGCTATGAGACTGGAACAGAGGCAGGCTGGAAAGGAAAAGGGTATAAAGGTTTTTAAAAAATATTAGATGATACACCACATATTAGAAGTTGAACACAGGATTTTCAAGTCTCAGCAAGTTTCTTTTATCATAGCAATTGATGGCAATTAAAATATATCTAGCAATTAACCCACTACTACCCCCAATTACAGCTACACCTGGTTTTCTTGAATCAAATTATAAAAGTTGAAACTCTTCCGAGAGTCTGTGCACAGAATAGTACAGTTACTGTGGTGGAATTTATTTCCAGTGGCTTTCTGAAACAATTTTGGAAAATATTAAAAGTTGCAAGGTCAGGCACTCCACAGTTCAGAACTAAATACTCAACTATTTAACCAACTGGGCAACTGCTCGAACCAATTGCTTCTTTAGATCACTTTCTTTTCTAGAATGTCTGTCCCACAGGATGAATATGCTTTGGAAATTAATTAGCGTTTTTATAAAGAGAGTTGAAGCAATTGCTGTTTCAGATCACTTTTTCTAGAATGTCTGTCCCACAGGATGAATATGCTTTGGAAATTAATTAGCATTTTTATAAAGAGTATTTGTCTGCAATAAATGAGATAAGATTCTTAATCTCAGAGACACAAAATGAACAAATCTTGCCCTGGAGAACAGGATCCTCTTGTCCTCTGCTACCCAAACTTCTGAATGATGGCAGGTACATCATTTAAACCAAGTATTTCACAAGGTAGCATTAATCAATCTCTGGTTCTCCACTTGACTTAGCGGAAACCTGAAGTCAGAAGTGCAGAAAATTTGAACTACAAATGAGGTCAAGATGATGATATTCTGAACGTATATCCTGGAGGAGGGACACTGGGAAGACAGGAATCAGTCTAGCTTTTAAAAGCAGACAACAGAATCAGCCCGTTCTTCCCTTAATACGTTTTCATCCTGTCCTCTTCCAGCTTCGTTTCTCTCACCTAGGCTTTTCCTTTGCTTTTATCAGATTTATTTTCTCTTTCCTTCATTCTTTTCAATTTTATATGTGTCTCAGCTCAGCTATAAATTAATTTACAGAGACAAAATAACCTCATCTTACTTCGTAAGAGAAGTACAAAGATAAAAGTTCCTAGCATTTTCTTTGGGGGGGAATAAGTATTATTAGAAAATAAACAATTTTGGTTTTGCAGTAAGATCTCTGATAAAACTTTCACGGAAAAGTCTTCACAAAACCAAAGCTATAATGCAGATCTAAGAATGTCTGAGATCCAGTGTGAAGCTAATGGTCTTCTGATCATAGCCACAAAATAACTACTTCAAAGTAGAGGTTAAAAAAATTAATGTTTTGTCCTGACAATATCCTTCTCAAGTTTAATTATTGTTGTTGTTTTTATTTATATTTCAGAATACTATTTCAGGTCTAATGCTTTCTGCTTGAAAATTACCATCAAACTGAATCAAGATTCAAAAAATCAAACAGGCAAAAATAAGAATTACAGCTCTGTAGTAAAGAACCAACACTAAAAAAGGTAACAGCACACCGGTGGAAGAACACTGTTGTTCACCAATCCCTCCCCTTTTCTCCTCCCACAAAATATATAAGAAAAACAGAAAGTAACTGAGACGTTTTCAACCGTATTATTCAAAGATTTAAATAAATTAGCTCCGGATTTACGGATTGATACAAATATATCAGAAAGGTACTTAAAAAAATGAATGTAATTATGACGTGGTAGGTCACGTTATATACAAATACAGAGGACAAAAGTTTTAAAAATTGCAGGTCAAAAGAGAAATTCATATAGGGAAGTAAAAGCAAATCTTTTTGATGTGTCTCATATTGAAACACTTTTCATCTGAAGTTAAAAGATCAATCTAAACTTTCAAAGAGAGCCTAAATTCTTCAAAAAAGCTATGTGTTAGCACAACTAAAAACAGATACTCAGACTGGAAGGTACAGTTTATGTGGCACAAGTTACTGTTGAGCAAGGAAGGTAACACCTCTGTTCTGAGTCTGCAAAATCATCTCCCTACTGTAACATGAAAACAGAAGATAAAAAACCAGAAAAGACTGAATTATACATTAGAGAAAAAAAAAAAATAGAACATTTCTTTAACCTAGATCTGTGGAATGAGCCAGGATTTGTTTTCTTGCACACACTCAAGTAGCCTGTGGCAAACTGCGTAGGAAAATAATCTCCATTACCATCAACTTAGAATCGCCAACAGAAAAGCAAGCCTCAATCACCTGAGAGACTATTTTTGCCTCATTTTTGTATACTGTCAAAGACAGCGATTTCCTAGTCTATGAGCTGGGCACTAAGATGCTAGCATAATACAGGTAAATGTGTTGCACTTAAAGATGGCAATAAACACTAAAGCTGAAAAAAAATCTTGTACTTCCATCCTTAATAGTTTTATCACATAAGAACACGTGAGAACATTATGCGTACTAAAGGAAAATTTTGAATCTTCACTGCATTTTAGATTAAAGAAAAAATTGTCAGAGGGGAGAGATTTTTTAAACAGCATGCATCTTCTGATCTCAATCTTAGGCTGCTGAAAAAGTATTTTCTTTGAAACTACTTTTCAAACAAACTACTGAATGAAAAAGAACTATAAAATCCTGCCATATCAATTCGGAAGGAAAGAAAGAAAAAAGACATTTAAAAAAATAGTTTGAGAAGCAGTACTATGATCAGAGTCCTGTCTGAAAATTGGAGCAATGGAAGAATTAAAACTTAGTATGGATAATCTTTTGGAGATGCTCAAGTTATAAGTAGGTTTATTATATCAGAGAGACTGCTTCTCAAGACAGCTTTTTACTAAGTCATGGATTCAGGACACTGTCTGGTAACATTTTAAAAAAAAAACCAACCAGAGAGCAAGCTATACTTCAACTCATTAAAATAGTAATAGCAACTGAAATATAGTAATTAACCTACGGATAACTTGTAACGCTTACAGAACTTCAACTGATGTTGTTTGAGGGGTGGAGAAGGGAAAGATTGTTTCAATACCTTGTCTTCCCTCATCATTGGTAAACAAACCAGCATCACTGCTGCTCAGACTGCTGGATTCACTGTAATAAGAGAAAGAAAGAAACAGATCAAAAGAACAATTGATCTTTCAGTCGTAAAATTCTAAGGAGACAAGGCTGTGCTCAAATTGAACTTAAGCCCAACAAAGATCGGAAAGAAAATAGGATGATTTTTTTTTAATCAAACTGCAAATATCCTAGTTCCATTAACTACAAAGCATATTATTTTTGGCACATAAAACCACGGGAATCTAATGGTACCCTGACAGTAAGCCAGATGTGACTGCAACGAGGTGCTGACACAATTGATGCATTTTATTATCTGCTTCCATCAAATGCTCACTGCTTCCTTCTTATGCTGTGCAATTCAGCTTGATCCTGGAACATCACTGCTCAATAAAATAGGAAAAGTCTCAATCAAAAGCAGCCTAAGCCTTCCTTCAGCACATGAAATGTAAGAGTCTGAAAATCAAATTACCTTTCTAAACATCATTTGCAAGTATTCTGGAAAAGACACTGCTTAAGGTTTCACAACATACTACTTGGGAAGAAAAAAGTTTATAACAAAGGTAGCCAATTAAATCAAAATAAAGGTCACCCTGAAGAAAATAAGTATGATCAATGATCATAACATCAACAAAAAAAAGCAAGGTACAGTTTCCTCTTCTGTCACTTCCATCATGGCATTAAAATTAGAATGCGTGTGTATGACATGCACACACTTCTCTCTAAATTCAAAGTCATCAATAGGTAAAATATTTTGTTCTTTGCTGTACACACTTTGTTACAAACAATATTCCATGTCTCTAAAAATAGTAAAAGAATTATCTTTTAATAACACAGATCACAATTTGGTGAGTTTCACAGAAAAGGATTTTTTTTAAACCATTTCATTTTTTTTGTCTATAGAGTAGCGCTGCTAAGGAAGTAATATTCTCACCAAAATTTAATCACATTTTACTTACAGTGAGATGTAGAACAATTTGAAAAAAATCACTTCAGTTCACCACACAAATTCAAATACAAGTTATAACTACTACGGCTACTCTCAATGTTCCATATGAACTATTTATAAGAACTTGAGGTCTGTTTACCTTTCTACACTTATTCATATTAAAACATACATGCAGTCCTATACTTGAATTCAAGTGGTTTCAATTATTTTTACTTACTTTCTAGTAATAAATTAGTTTTATTTTTGTTTCTAAATAAATACTACACTGCAGAAAATTATTTCCTTTTAAATGTTAATCTCTCACAAAAATAAGCCTCAGGTTTTTTTTAAGCTTGTAATATGAATTATATAAAATTAGTCTAATTTGTGTTTAATTATAGGTACACATTTGGGTTTTGTATCTTCCTTTGGGAGGATTTGGAACACAATATAGTATCAGGACACACAAAGCAGTGATTTAAAAAAAGTAATATATACGGCTCTGTGTTTGAATATTAAGTTATTTTAATATTTGCTGTATCTTCTGCTTACCCATATTCTTACTGTGTAAGCAATACTTATACCATCTTTTATACATAATATAATCAGAACAAGACTTAAGCACTTGCACAACTGCCCTAAGCAGAAGAAAGAAGACAGGCATGCAATGAGAACAGAACCATCTTTCATGAGGGAGACCAAAACTTGAACTTCCCAGTGTTGCAAATCCTAGTAACTTCTTTCTAGCAAGCATCCCATCCTCACTTTGATTACAACAAAGATGGCTTTACTGTCCTTACATTTAATTTTATAATTTTACATCATACATCTCAAAGAAAAACATCCCCTTTTCATAGATTCTTCCTATCCATTTATTGTTTAATTGTACTTTTTAAAATGAAAGCTAGGAAATCCTTTCAACTCTAGTATTTCAGCCACTTTCCCCACCAAAATTTCCAATTTTGAGAACAGTCTCCTTCCTTTTTTCTTTTTTTTAGAGATATTTTAATTGTGCAGTAATTCCTACTGAAGGACTAGCCAGTTCATGAAAACATAACCACTTGAAACTTTCAAAATTACACATAATAATGTTTTGTTTTGGTTTTTAAAAATCAAACCATAACACTGGTATATCCATGGCAGCCAGTGTTCATTCTCCTCAGGCCACAGTCAAATAGGGCAGGGATTACAGCTGAGATAATTGCTACATGGCCATCATTTCACTGAATAAATTCAAAACCTCTGGAATTAATACATTAATATCTAAGTACATGAAAGCTGTTATGATGGAATTTATTTCCAGTTTTAATATAATTTTGCACTGTATATTCCTAATTCATTTGCTTTGTAATGAGAATTCCACTCCCAGGAAGACTTCCAGGAAAAAGAAAAAAGCCACAGATTCCTTTTAGTCCTATAAAATAGGGTATGCAAGCAAAAACTTGGAAGGAACAGCTCTGCTACCCAAAAAGCTTTCACAGCTTTATTTATACATTTGTGGAAATAAAGAAGAAATAAGTTTTATTATTCGTTACTATTACCAGCAAAGCGTCCCATACCTTGGTTTCGTATGAGACTTGTGACCTCTGTTCACTAAACAAGCCTGTCCCCAAGAACTGACCAGCCACTGTACTCACACTGACGGGCCGGCTGGTGGGTGGGCGTCTCTGGCATTATTAAGGGTCTGAGTTTCACTGCTGCTCTCTTTCAAAATGGACAATTGAGATTTCTCCTCTATTTAGTCACTTCAAATGCAAACAATTGCCAAAGCTTGCAGGAATTAAATATCATCCAGAACTCCATGCATCGCCAAATTTGGCTGAAACTGGCCAAGGAACTAAGCATTGAGGATAAGGGAAAATGAGCAAAGGACAGGCTCTGATCACGAAAATCTCATTTCCAGTGCTCAAAACCAACCTCACAGGAATTCATCTTTGGGACCATTTAGATGCTGACATTTTAAGAGCTTGAAGACTCCTACTACTACTCCTGAACCCTGCACTTAAAGGGTTATTGTTGCGTTTGGTGTTTGAACACACACAGATAAAAGACTGCAAAAGAAGTGTCACTTAGCATTTTTAATGTGTACTTCAAATATATACATTATGTTATTTTAAAGTAATTTCATGTATACACTGAAAACTTCTCACTAGTTTTAGATCCGAGCAACTTAACTCCCATTAAAAATCATTGGCTTTGTTTTGTTTTTAAAAACTGAACTTCTAAAAAATTAATCGGTTTTTTTGAATAATCATTAAGCTGTATGCACACAAATGTACAAAATTAGAGCAGCTTTGTATACTTTTTATTTTTCCTCTTCCAACAAGTGTTGCTGAAGCATGAGTCTTATCCAAGATGCTTTGTTATCTCTCCATATCTTGTGCAATCTTACAAAACTCATGTTCCCTTTTAAAATCTCAGCTTTTACTTTTAGAACATATTTTTAGGAACCGAGTTTGCCAGTTGTTTCCAATTCTTCTGGCTAAATGATCTCAAACAATAGAGGCACTACTGCATTTAAGTAAAACTAGTTTAAAACCAGTTAAAATTATTCACATACAAATATTCAGATACAGCATGCACCTGAGAGGCTTAGATATGGTGGATTTCTAATCACATTATGGAATGCAAATTTTCTAATTCAGTGGTTTCCAAACCTTTTGGTACAAGATGACCATTGCAAGAAATTCAGTAGAATGACAGACCATCACTCAACCATGTGCATGAGCAGAAAACACTATGAAGATGAGAATGGTTTTAAAGGCTATTTATTGGGGCCAGAAACAAACATTTGAAGTACAATTTGAAAAATGACAGCATTTGGTGTAACAAAACATTAAGCGTTTTGAAGAGGAAGATGAATTTTTAAATCGATAATGTTTCTTCTGTGAAAAAAACAAAAAGATATTCAGACTGACCTGGAAGTAGCACAGTTTTGGGAGTCTACAAGAGGAGTTTTATATTGGTCACTCTACTCTCCACCCAAAAATTAGCTACAGAATTTTTGACTTGGAGAACTGTTACCCTTGTAGCATAACAGAAAATCTTTTAGAAATAAAAAAGTGACAAGAATATGGACACATGATAAAATATGCAATGGTTCCTAGCTCCAAGGAAATTTTTAACCATCTGTCTTTAGGTACCAAACTTGGGGGAACAGATTCCCAGTATCATCAGAGAAGGAAGTTCTCTAAAGGCTTCCTGACAACACACACCTGTCTTGCATGTCAAAGTGAGATGTTTGAAGTTAAACCGGCTGCACTGAAGGACTGCTTCTGCTCTAGTAACTAAGACATTAGTAACAATCTTTAAAGACTCATGATTCACATTGCTCTTTCAACTGCTTATTGTCCGCAGGTGAGGGACAAAACTAGCATGTAATAAAAAGACTTAGAAGAACTTACCCGACAATAACTGGAGTTAGTCACTTACCAATACTTCTGTTATTACAGTAACCGATCTGTCTGCTCTGGTCAAAACCCCTGGGTACTCTCTGCATCTAAATTCTACCTCTCCAGTAAGGAAAAGGCTTAACAGTTTATAGATAAAATGCCTACAAAAAAAACCAGGGACACTAGTGCTGTCAAGCAACTGACCAAAATTATGTGTTTTAATATGAGTCTTTCTTGTTGACAGTTCTGCATTCAGAACCAGGCACATGGGATAAACATAATCAAGCTTACCAGGCCCCGCAGGTAACATCCCTTGTGTATGGTGGAAAAATGACTTACACCTTACTGTGTTGTCAAAATAGTACTTTGGAAACAATTACCATTGTAGTATGACTGCTGTCTGGAATGGATGGATGAGGTGTACTGCCAAAGGGTCATCATTCCCCCATTTTTCTAATGGTAAGCTCAGGTGTTTCTGAACTGTAAATTGGTTTTTGCATTTCGTAAATGATGTATATCCTTGGCAACCTGCAGACTTTTTACGCCCATGACACATAAGAACATACTGTCTAAATGGTGACTCTAAACACTGACAACCTTTCTGATGAATAGAGATAACAATCGAAGCACCAATGTCTAGAAATTGGAAAAAAACTTGATTTTTGTCTGAGAACTGTCATCAGTTGAAATACCCAGAAAAAGACATATTAATCATTTGTATATTCTGTCATTCTTCATCTTGAAACAATTAGAATGTATTATTTCAAGAATCTGTTTTCTTGGTTATTCCTCTGCTACACGACTCTATTTTATGCTGAATTCCTTAACCCGAGCAACTCATGTATTAAAAAAAGTAGACTTAAAAAAAAAGTAACTTGTTAAAACAGATACTATTGATGCTAGCATTTTAACTCTGGAATTAAAGAAAAATCCAAAGATTCCCAATACAAACAACAGTAATAAAAGCAATAAAATACTATCCAAAGTTTCTGTAAAAAGGAAGAGAAAGAATAACCTGTCACTCATGTTCTCATCTGAGCCTTTTTGCTCCTCATATTCCATTTTGTCCTTATTTGCTTGGTTCACTTCTTCATTTTCTATAACTACTCCTTCATCCAAGATTTCAGGTCCTTGTCGAGCTGCAGCCACTTTTCTTTTTTTCACTTTGCTCTTAGAAAACTCTTGGTGTTGGTATGATTTATTGTCATTGTCCATTTCTTGATCTCTGCTGTTATCCTGCTGTTGAGTTATTGTCAGTGCATTAGAGACTTCTGATGGCAGATCTATTGCCATCCGTTTTACCTTTCTTCTCCTGCGCAAAGTTCTGTTTCCCAAACTGTCAACAGCCAAATCTGGTTCATGCCACAGAGGTCTTTTGCCTCTAATGTTATTTAAGTTTGAGGAAGGCCTACGTTTAGCAACCAACAACTGGTCATCAGAGTCACTGTGGTCTTTCTTACTAGCATGGTTCTCCCTGTAGTCTTTGTTTGATTCTTCTAAACTGGAATCAGAACCTTCACTTAAGCAGTGACCAGTCTCCCACGGATGATGGGTGGTAAATGAACGTCTTTTTCGTCCCCTCCTTTTCCTTGCCTGTCGCTTTAGAAGACAAGACACACTTCGAGAATGATCTCCAGTATCAGCAAAACCTCCTCTGGCTTGCTCTGAACTTTCTTCCAGTGCTGAGACTAGATCGTGAACCAGCTCCTCCATAGTCCTACTGAAATGCCTATATATTTCAAGAAAAAACACACACAAGAAAACAACATATAAATCTGAAGTGTTAAGCATAAACTCTATAACAATTTTACCTGCCAAAATCATTTTATTTTACTCACTTTAGGCAAGGTAGTCTTAATGTCCATTCTATAAAGATTATTGTATTTCTGCTGAGAGATAAAGCCTTGCCAACCAGTCCTACACAATTTGCAATGCATCAGCATACATTCCTTTTAAAAGTCATCTTCCCAAATTTCTGTCTTGGAAAGAAGAGTGGGTTGGGGTTTGTTTCCCATTTGTTTTTGACCTCACTATTATTGTTTGGTTTTAACTCACCTCATCACATTTTTATGATTTTCAGGGTTTCCGCATGGCGAGAGCATCAACAAAGACCATTCACTCTAACAGCAGGCAGGGAGTGCATTTTAAATTTATGAATGGAAAATGGAATACATAATAGTCCTCCTTGATAGTATATTAGGGAGTTCTGTTTAAGAGTTGCCATTATGATAAAATATTTTTAAGGATAATTATCTCTTGATGCTGCCTAAATGCCAAAATGAAGTTAAGACAGTGATTCTTTGATAATATATGACTTTTTTTTTTTTAATAGTGACTAATTCTGTCTTTCCAAATGGCTGATATCCGTTTGATTTTTTTTTTTTAATTTGGTTCAGTGGAGTGATATTAAGTTGAGAGAATACCCTGCTACAGGTAATTCTAGAATATTAAATGCAAAGTTTTCCACCACATGCAGACACTCACATCCATAGAATCACACATTTGTGTAAGGCAAAATATCCCTAAACACACACAGTGTCTCATTAAGGCTTTATCCTTTTAAACATTTTGCTCCTTCCTCCTCAGATTTCACTAGCATTTAGCATGTCTTTAACTCCGTATGCTTCAGTAAGTTCACCCATATTCACATGAACATAATTACGAAAAGAAAACATTAAATGATTGCTGCTGAACTCTAATCCTTCTCTGAAGGCTGTGAACCTTCCTTGTAAACACAGCAATCAGATTCTCACATCAAAGCATCAGAAGACCCCTTTCATTGAGGTAAAGCAGAGAACAATGTTCATGCTCTTTACTACATTACACCAACTGATAAATATGGAAGACACTGAGTAATTTATGTAGTGGATGTTTAAAAGCAAGACTCTTCACTTTGTTTTCCAACACAATTTGATGGAGGAATGAATAAATAGTTTTCTACCCATACTGGCAGAGTTGTAGATGTGGAGAAAATCTAGACACATAGCACACAGGTTCCCTCTCCAATTTACCACAAACTCCAACATTAAAGGTACTTAATGGTGGTGGCTGAATGGACAGTCATGACTGTAACGTACGCAAATTTTAAATGTTAATGAGGGAACTGAGGAGTACGTTTAAGAAGAAATCCAAGCTGGGCATGATATATCTTACCTAAAGAAATTATTTATTCTCCTTTTAAACCATTTTCAGAAATACTTATTTTAAACATTTCAATTGCAAGATCACCAAAAGCAGAGAGAGTGGTAGAAACACAAGCTCATTTTGAATTCCTGAAACTACTGTGTCACTTGCCTTTATTTCTCGTACCTCTTTTTCTGTCCTGCTGTAATCTCTAGGCCTATTACTCCCTCTTAACCTAAGATTTTCTTTAGCTCTTAGTAGAGCAGAATCATTGTATTATCTTGTAAGGGGTGAGACAGCTCTGGAAGAATGCTACACTTCTCCTTAATCCATTTAGATCACAAGAATCAAAACCTCCAAAATCACACAAAAATACTTCTCAGAAGCGAGAGAAGCAACACAGCAGGAAAAGTATTCAAATGAAGCAACGATTTTCTGAAAATTCAGCGAAAGAAAAAAGTGGAAGCCAATTAACCTAGAAATTACTTCTAGAGACTTGTGGCGTCAAAAAGATTTAAAACTAACTCTTACTTCGAGTTTTCAAAGTTTCAGTTACTGTGGAGGGGTTTTGGGGTATGTGTGTAGGAGCTGTTTGGTTTTTGCTTGGTTTTTTTGCTTGTGTAGTAGGAATTTCAACCATCAGTAGAGGCAAGTCTAGGTATATTTGTACAAGGTTTCTACACGATGCTTAAATTGATACATTAACCCATGTTTCTCAGTAGCTAGAACTGCACAATGGGGAGGGCACTAGCCCCTTTAGCTTCATTGATAAACACCCATGAAGACAGCTATCCTCACAGGTGCGCTTATCAGAAATGAGATGCCCTTGAGATTTAAGGGGGTTTCTAATACTTCTGTGCTAATGTAACAGGAGCTATAAGACTCAAACAAACTCCAGTACATTTATTTGAGTTAATTTGAGAAATCAATTCCCCCAGCTGCCTGCCCAGCCCTTCTGCCACAGGCTTTCACATTTATAGCGAACTGATAGAAGCGGAGGTGCACCAAAAACTGAACTAGTAGGCTTAAACCTACATTCAGCTCAAAATGAACAGGTTTCTGCTAACATGCCAGAATATGAACTAGCATATATACTCTCTTGCAGCTCATTCTGTTAATGCCCCTGCAGCACAAAGTAAAAGCGAAAGGAAAGACAGGGACGGGACGCTAATATCTTACATCACAGTTTATGATTAATTCGATCAATTCAGTACCCCTAATCCATATGGATAACTGTATCACCAAAATCACTGCAGCTCCTACAGTGGACATACCAACTTATAGAATCATAGAATCATTGAGGTTGGAAAAGACCTCTAAGATTGAGTCCAACCGTTGACCCAACACCACCA